CTGGGAATTATTGAGCACCTTTTCAGGACTATTATTGTGTTGATTTGCATGATTTGATCATTTACAGCGCTGCATTTTTATATATATATGTTTTACTGAGGATTTTTACATGCGTTTATCCTGGATGTTCAGCTGCTGTTTCTTTGAGAGCGCTCACTGTGTGTCCTTTACCTATAGAGTTCATTTTAAGTACCTGATTGTTTTCAGTATGTTTTGCCTTTAAAGCCCCCTTTACCCATGGTATTTTCTTCTATTTGTAATCCTGCTCAATTGTTGTTTCTTTAAAGACTTTCTTTTGGTAAATGCATGCACTTTGACACCAACTGTTGCAAGAGTTACGTAAACGCCCTACACTGAATTTTTGGAGTTCTTGAAAAATGTTTTAAGCATCAAAAGGTAAGCTCATGGGTTGACTTTGTTGGGCTGGCCAATCCTCACAAATTAGTCGTATAGATTCTTTTCCTTACACTGGGCATCAGATAGCTCCATTGATCTCATGATGACATCACACATGTCAATAACAAAGAGAACATCAGCCCCTAGATATCTGAGGTTTAAAAAAAAAGGAGGTTGTATCTGCATATTCCCTAAGAAGGTTTCAATCACTGGCACCTGATCTGGAACACCCAATTCTAAATTCATGGATTTAAAGCGGTGGTAAATTAGAAGTGTATTTACTTTTTACATATGACATATCTGCATTTTTGTTTTTTTAGATCATGCAAATGAATACACTGGGGCTGATTTACTTAGGGCAAATGGGCTGTTCAAGTATATCACCATTATCGGTTGGCACTTTCTGAATCAAGATATAATGTTTACCTATCTAAACATGTTGAAAAGTCATCAGTTTTCTTGAGGAGCACTTACTTTTTCACATGTAACAGAAACTGTTGGAAGCCTGATAATAAAATTATCATGAGAAAATACAATTACCCAGTGCCACTGCACAGTCACTATGGCATCAACTATTTTGTCTAATAAAAGTAAACACCACAGATCATTTCTTTGGTTTTATGGTGTTCAAGTGTTTTTAAAGGTTCAAGTTTTTTTCTTTAAAATAATAAACATGACATACTTACCTGCTCTATGCAATGGTTTTGCACAGAGCAGCCTCGATCCTCCTCTTCTTGAGTCCCCCCACCACTTCTGGCCCCTCCCCCCTGCTGAGTGCCCCCAGAGAAAGCTGCTTGCTCTGGGGGCACATGTGTGTCTTCGCCCCCCCGAGCCACCTCTGTGTTTCTATAGGGGGCTGCGCCAGGAGCTGCACACTGAAGGTTTTATTACTTTCATGCATAGAATGCATGAAGGTAGAAACCTTCAGCCTTTACAAACCACTTTCATTATGACTTTTAAAACCACGTCAAGATAATTTGCTATGTAATTGCGAAACACAAATTATTAACTTGTTAAACAATGTTTATGAACATGATATCACAGAAAAAGATGCGACTCTGATTAAGCAAAGAAAGATGCCAATCTCCCTGACATTTGAGCTAGGTAAACATGCTTTGCTTTTTCACATCCTAAATAGTCTGATTATGTGTTTACATGTGCTGATAATTTGCATCTACAATTATATGATATAAATCACTGAGTATGCTATATATAACTCTTTATATCACTGGACCTTAGTATATATAGTGTGACAGTGTGAGGCCCGGCCACGGATTGAGTTTGGTAAACTGGTACAGAAAGGACACAGGATTCTCAAAGTTATGGTTTGAGAGGTGCTGGCATATTTATTGGGAGATTAGAAAAATCTGGGTTTTGTAATCCTGGATCAGGGCCTGGAGTTTAAAGGTTCTGAAGTGCCTTGGGTGGAAAGGAACCTTCAATCATGTCTGGGCTTTGCCAGATCTGAGAGTAGCTCAGGGCTGTTGCAGTTGGAGTAGCTGCCATTTGGAGACCGAGCTCTGTCAGGAGATCTGGTTGTTCCTGTCAGAGACTGCATCCCTTGTACAGTATAAGGGACTTCTTGCCCAAAGTCAGGACAGCTACAAAGGCCTGGGAGACCAAGAGAGGGTCTGGGAGGCAGAGAAACCTGAAGCGGCTAGCTATTCCGCGGAGCTATAGGAAGTCTGGAAGTCTCTGAAAGAGCGAGCAATCTCAGAGGGGCTGGAGAACCCTATTTGGAGGTCAGGAGTGGGCCCCATGCTGCGAGGTACTGCAACTAAGGCTGAGGGAACCTGAGGTTAGGGAGACCTTTGCTAACAATGGTTGAGCTGCTGAATGTGGCCAGGTGGGCTAGCATTTTTGTTGCTGCTTTGTGAAGCTTCCCTGTGTGGGAAACCTTGTAAACACTTTGTTTTTCTGTTTATTGAAAATGGGCTAACAAGCCCTGAAAAATAGTTCAGACTGATGTGAACTTGCTTAAAAAATGCATCTTCCAAGAGAGTAAACATCCCCAGATCACAATTGATACTTGTTATACTCATTTTAAAGCTTAACTGAAGCTCTGTTTTATTAGGATGCATAAAAAGAAAAGATTTTGTCAATGTTTTCTTCTATTTTGTGTGCTATTATAGCCCTCTGTTAAACTAGCCTGTGCCAGCATAATGCTAATGATCTAGACAGAGCATAGTGGTCTGGACCTTCAGGGGTCCCACATGCCCCCTGCAAAGTCATATAGTTGCATAGCTGGTCCAGTTGAAAAAAAAGACATGTCCATTTAGTTCAACAATTAAAAAGGGGGAAAGAATATACAATCCTATATACACAATCCTACATCCACAGTTGATCCAGAGGTAGGCTAAAAACCCCAATAAAGCTTGATCCAATTTGCTCTTGCAGGGGATTCAAAATGACTTCCTTATCCCTGGATCAACTTTACCTATAAATATTAGTATCCAGTTTAATTATGTACATTTAGGAAGGAATCCAGATCTTTTTTAAAACCATTTACTGAGCTGGCCAGAACCAGCTCTCGAGGGAGTTTATTCCACATATTCACCCCTCTTACTGTGAAGAAACCTTCCCGTATTTGGAGATTAAATCTCTTTTCCTCCAGACGTAAAGAGTGCCCCCTTGTCCTCTCTGATGATCACAGGGTGAATACCTCTACATCAAAGGTTCATATAGTGAACTCGGTGTACAGTATTTATACATGTTGATCATATCACCCCTTAATCTCCTCTTCTCAAGAGAGAATAAATTCAGTTCCTCTAATCTTTCCTCATAGCTGAGCTCCTCCATGCCTCTTATCAGTTTGGTTGCCCTTCTCTGCACTTTCTCCATTTGCCCAATATCCTTTTTGTGAATTGGAGCCCAAAACGGAATTGCATATTCCAGATGAGGTTTTACTAGTGATCTGTACAGGGGTAATATGATATCTCTCTCTGGAGTCTATACCTCTTTTCATACAAGAGAGGATTTTGCTCGCTTTGGAAACCTCAGCTTGGCATTGCATTCCATTATTAAGCTTGTGATCTACCAGAACTCCCAGATCCTTCTCCACCATTGATTCCCCCAGTTGTACCCCCCCTAGTATGTATGATACATGCATATTCTTATCCCCCAAGTGCAGAACCTTACATTTATCAACATTAAACCTCATTTGCCACATAGTTGCTTAGTTAAATAACGCTTTGAGGTTGGCTTGTAAGTTGGAGACATCCTGTAAGGACGTTATTCCACTGCATATCTTGGTGTCATCTGCAAACACTGTAATAGTACTTTTAATCTCAGACCCTATATCGTTTATAAATATATTAAAAATCAAGGGTCCCAACACTGAACCTTGGGGTACACCACTAACAACCCTAGACCATTCAGAGTATGAATCATTAACCACTTCTCTCTGAATACGATCTTTTAGCCAGTTTTCTATCCATTTACAAACTGATTATTTCAACCCTGCAGACTGTCAACTGCTTTTGAAAAATCCAAGTAAACTATGTCCACAGCCACCCCTCTAAGGTTTTGCTCACCTCCTCATAAAAAGAAATTAGATTTGTTTGACAACTTCTGTCTTTCATGAATCCATGCTGTTACTTAAAATATTTTTTTCTAGCAAGAACTCGTCTATGTGGTCTTTCATTAAACTCTCCAGTATCTTCCCAACTAAAGAAGTTAAACAAACAAGTCTATAGTTACTTGGTAAAGCCTTTGACCCCTTTTTAAATATAGGCACCATGTTGACCTTACGCCAATCCCGTGGTACTATGCCAGTCGCAACTGTTGTGTTCTAATCAACAGCATTTTGTCTCCCTAAGCAGGGTTAATGAGTGGAGCACTGTATTGGGGGGGGGGGGGGGGCTCAGACTGCTGGAGATCCTGACCGCTGCACTTTGTGCAAGAATGAGCCAGTGCACAATGCATGGCCACTATTTATTTATTTTTCTCCTCACATTTGTTACCTTTTCATTTTTGTGTGTGTTTTTTTTCACTGGATGGAGGATGTGGGTTCTCAGGCCTACCCTGAAGACTAGGTGGAGGATATGTGACCATCAGGTTCCTTTTCCCCCAGAACCTGTGGGTCTCTCTTTACCTTCACTCATCAGTATCACCCAGCAGTTAGATGAGAGCAATGACGTGAGAGCTCTGTCCTCCCCTGACACTGTCCACGCAGCTCTTGATGTCTTTTTCACCCCAGCTGCTGTCAGCAGCTACATCAGAGAGATGACAAGGAAGCTTGCTGCACTCAGTCGCTGCCCACACAATTGTCTCTCTCTGCCTAGCCCATAAATCCCACCGAACAGTAACAAGAGAATGATGACAGGGGAGTTCTCTGATCCCTTTCACTGCCCACACACCCATTCACCTCTTCCTAGACTGTAATGTGTGTGAAGGCTGAGGGCTGTTGGGACATTTAGTTTTGCATGGTGCCCTATGTCATTAGGATGTGACATAAGGCTCCCTGCAGATCCCTTCCTTCAGAAACCACAAAGTGACATAAAAGATGATTAAAACAACCAAACATGGAAATACTGTAGTTAAAGAGGTTTGATTAAAAAAAAATATATGTTAAGAAAATATTCAAAGAATGTTCTCTTAATTACCTCTGTAGAGAGACAATAGCAGACTGTTCATTTTCATTCTCTGCTTGAGTGATACCAAGGTACTGCCAAGCCTAACAAAGTTTTAGCACAAAAAAAGAGAGAGAAGGACGAGATGGAAATATGGAAAGGAAAACATATTAACATCAATATTCTTAACAGACAGAATATTTGGTACATTCAAGCAAAAATAAGGCATTTTGTGGAAATTACTATAATAGGAACCTGACTGTTAGGTCTGTGAGAGAATAAAAGATGGAGATTACCGTAGGTTAATCTTTCCATTTTAACTATCTTCCAATCTATACTACTGCAGATCCTTCCTGGAATTTCCATTGTCCGGATTAGCAGGGGTGATCTCAAGAAATAATTTGCTAATTGGCTTTTATACTCTAATCCATTCCCTACCATCTAATTGCGCTTATGACGTTTGCCTTTTTTTTTCTAGTTAGCATGCAAGGTTTTAACTTCCGGGCTTTGCACACAAAAGGTGCTTTCTCTGACATTTATATGCCTTTATTTATAATTGCAGAACAGATTTTGTGATGTGCATTAACCCTTGACACAAAGACTGAAATTAGTTTTTATTGTCCTAACTCTTACAAAACCCTGAAATCTGATTGCTATGGGTAATTACACATTGCTATCTTTTATACCTTTTGTTTAACCACTTGACCTCTGGAAGGTTTTACCCTTTCATGACCAGGTAATGTTTTTTGCTATTCAGCATTGTACTACTTTATCTGGCAATTGCTCAAACATGCAACACTGTACCCAAATGAAATTTATATACTTTTTCACACAAATAGAACTTTTTCTTGGTGATATTTAATCACCAGTGTTTTTTTATTGTTTGCCCAAATGTTTCTTAGTTTCTGTTATAACATTTTGCAAACAAATAACCATAAATGTAGGCCAAAATGTAGTCTGCTATATTTCTGGGATAAAATTACCCCAAATTAGTGTATATTATTTAGTCTGTGTGAAAGTTATTGAGCCTACAAAGCATGGCATAAATATTTGAAAATAGATCAGTCCTGATGTACTGACTGCCTATATCAGATGTCTCCAAACTTTCTAAACAAAGGGCCAGTTTACTGTCCTTCAAACTTTAGGGGGGCCAGACTGTGGCCAGTGGAAGAAGAAAATGTCCTGATGTCAGTGTGAGTAAGGAATGCCCCATCATTGGTATCAATTAGAGGAATAGTGTCCCATTATTGGTATCAATGGGAGGAATAGTGCTCCATCATTGGTGTCAGTGGAAGGAATAATGCCCCATCATTGGTGTCAGTGGAAGTAATAGTGCCCCACCATTGATGTCAGTGGAAGGAATAGTGCCCCATCATTGGTGTCAATGGGAGCAATAGTGTCCCATCATTGGTGTCAATGAGAGTAATAGTGCCCCATCGTTAGTGTCAATGGGAGGAATAGTGCCCCACCATTGGTATTAGTAGAAGGAATAGTGCCCCATCTTTGGAGTCAGTGGGAAGAATGGTGCTCCACTGTCTGTATCAGTGGTAGGAACTATGCCACAAAGTTGCTAGCAGTGGGAGGAATAATGCCCTGTGGGTAGCATAACAGCAAGCAAAGGGCCGCATCTGGCCCCCGGGCCACAGTTTGGAGACCACTGGCCTATATCATTACTTGATTCCCTAAAATGCCAGGACAATACAAATACCGGCAAAATGACCCTTTTTTGAAAGTAGACAGTCCAATGTATTTAGTAAGAGGCATGGCAAGTTTTTTTGTAATTTTTTGTCACAATGTTTTTGAAAATGAAGAAAGTAAATGAAAAACATGCTATTATGTGGTTGCTATGATTGGTGATAGCAATCACATGGGGTACCAAGCACTGTAATCGGCTGTGTCCGGTCACAGGACCATGATGCTGCGCGCCCCAGGGGGAGTGCCAGTGTGCATATGCGAAGGATATATATATACATACATACACACATATGGTGTATATTTATGTTATTGATGAAAAGGATAGCCAAGGACTCCTTACTATGTTAATTTATGCACAAGGTAACTACTTTACCTTTTTTATGTTGAGTTAACCAGTTTTTGGATAAATATGTGTAGAGTCAGGGGGAGTTTCAGAGCAGGTTATTTGCAAATCTACCAGCATTGTAAAATGCAAGTTTGTAAGATTAGATTTGGAAAGGTCTTAAATATTCATAGTGTACTTTTTTGTGGTGAAGATAATTTCAACGTGGGTGTCGTGTCCATCTTTGTACAAGGATGTTAAAGACTGCAGTTTTGCCATAAACAAGACAAAGAGTATCTATTTAACTTTTTAATTAAAATCTATGCATACAGCTGTTCTGGGTCTAGACATGTTGTTTGAGACACATAAGATCAAACATGCTCATAAAACCAACCTATAAGATTGCTCAACACTTTGGTCAATGGGAAAAGGTGTATATTAGGGAAGGTTTTTTGGTTGAGTTGTGTCAGGAGAAAGTGTGACAGGAGAAAGTGTGACAGGAGAAAGTGTGACAGGAGAAAGTGTGACAGGAGAAAGTGGGTTCTCTGATGGTGTCTGATGATTATATGAATATTGTAAGTACCCTGTCATCTACCTTGTCTTTACCTCTGTTTTATGGATTGCCTCTGAGCTGATTAAATCTCTCTGGAAAAGGACTGTTATGTTTGCTGTGAGATATGACAACAGTATGCACCGCTACGTACAGGTACGTCGGCAAGTAGTTAATAGAACTGATCTTACTAAAATATTGAAAAGAAACAGGGAGTGACAGAACTCTACCTCAGCATCATTTGGGTCTTGCAAAATGGCAGCTTCCAGGTATAAAACTGTCAAAGGCAAATCTCCTTCTTTAAATTTCTTCATACCTTCTTCAAAGGCCGCAGAACATTCCCTAAATGGATTATCCATGTGTGAAATAATAACCCTAAAACAAAACAGCGGCAGATATCACGTGTTTATTAAATTTAAAAAGCTGCTTTTATGGTTTATAATAAGCAGAATGTCACTGTAACTTTCACCAAACATTCATTAATGGTAAATTAGTCACTGTAATTTAAATCACATGCACCACGAATATTCAATTGCAGTGAATGTTTGTTAAAAGCCAGGTTCACTGTTTTATAAAAATACATCTACATTTTTAGCTTTTGAGAAAAACAAAACTAACTCTGTGCTAGCACTGCATACAGTTTAGGAGCTAATCAATATAAAAATGATCTCCGTTAAAGCTACACATGTAAAAAGAAATTATTTTGCAGTCAGCCTAAAATCTAAACCAATAATCAGTGTGGACATGGGAATTTGCCCTGTGCCTGATGTCTTTCTGTAGTGCTCTTCATTTTGCTGTAGTTTTTGAGCATACTTCAATTCATCCAGGAAAACTTAGAAAGAAGTTAATATTGACACTAATGATAATTGAACAAACTATATGCATGACCATTTTGTTGCCCTATACATGACCATAATAATGACTTTACAAGCCATATACTGTATATGAACGACCATAATGATGACTACACAAGTGATACGCTTGACAGTAATGATAACTGCATAAATCATGTACAGTATATGGCTCTAATGATGAGTCCCCAAGCCATTTACAGCTCTAATGATGAGTGCACAAATCATAAACATGACCATAACGATGGCTTTTTAAGCCAAATACATGAATTTAGTGATGACTGCATGGACCATTTATCTGACCCTAATAATGGCTGCATGGCTCAGTTCACTGATCTTAACGATGACTCAGCAAGCCATTTATATGGCAATATTGATGACTTGCACAAGCCATTTGCAGGCCCTTAATACTGATTCAGGACTAGCTTGGATTACATGCTACCTTTTGACATATTTTCAAATGGTACCTGCCACGCTGTACTAAATTCCAATATTTCTAGAGTGGTGACAAACTACCAAGCCACAAGGACAAGGTATTAGTAAAGATACAGCAGTGCCATGTTACTGGAACAAGCACAACACCAGGTATAATGTTGCAAATAATGAATGATGTAATATTGCATATGCCACAATATTGCAACACTTGGAGTTACGCATACAGTACAAATATATGAATATATCTTGCTTAGTATACAGTTGCAAGAAAAAAGTATGTGAACCCCTTGGGATTACATGGAGTTTTGCATGAATTGGGCATAAAATGTGCTCTGAATGTCATCTAAGTCACAACCATAGAAGAACACAGTCTGCTGAACATAATACTACACAAACATTAGATGTTGCCATGGTTTAATTGCACATAACATGTAAACATTCACAGTGCAGGGAGGAAAAAGTATGTGAGGCCCTAGCTTAATGACTTCTCCCAGAGCTAATTGCAGCCAGGAGTGAGCCAACCTTGACTCCAATCAGTGTGATGATATTGGATGTGTTGCTGACAGCTGTCCTGCCCTTAAAAAACACACACCTGTTTTGGGTTTACTGGTTTCAAGAAGCACTGTCTGATGTGAACCATGCCTCGCAGAAAAGAGCTCTCAGAAGACCTACCATCAAGAATTGTTGACTTGCATGAAGCTGGAAAGGGTTACAAAAGTATCTCCAAAAGCCTTGATGTTCATGTGTCCACGGTAAGACAGACTGTCTACAAATGGAGAAGGTTTAGCACTGTTGCTACTCTCCCTAGGCGTGGTCGTCCTGTAAAAATGACTGCAAGAGCACAGCGCAGAATGCTGCATGAGGTAAAGAAGAATCCCAGAGTGTCAGCTAAAGACCTACAGAAATCTCTGGCACATGCTAACATTTTTGTTGACACATCTACAATAAGGAAAACATTAAACAAGAATGGAGTACATGGGAGGACACCACGGAGGAAACCATTGCTGTCCAAAAAGAATATTGCAGCACGTTTGAAGTTTGCAAAAGAGCACCTGGATGTTCCACAGCACTACTGGCAAAATATACTGTGGACAGATGAAACCAAGATTGAGTTGTTTGGGAAGAACACACAACACTATGTGTGGAGAAAAAAAGGCGCAGCACACCGACATCAAAACCTCATCCCCACTGTGAAACATGGCGGAGGGAGCATCATGGTTTGGGGCTGCTTTGCTGCCTCAGGGCCTGGACGGATTGTTGTCATTGGGAAAATGAATTCCAGAGTTTATCAGGACATTTTGCAGGAAAACGTACGACCATCTGTCCGCCAACTGAAGCTCCGCAGAGGATGGGGGATGCAACAGGACAATGACCCAAAGCATACAAGTAATTCAACAAAACAATGGCTGCAACAGCACAGAATACGCCTTCTGGAGTGGCCCAGTCAGAGTCCTGACCTCAACCCGATTGAAATGCTGTGGCATGACCTTAAGAGAGCGATTCACACCAGACATCCCAAGAATATTGCTACACTGAAACAGTTTTGTGAAGAGGAGTGGTCCAAAATGACTCCAGATCGTTGTGCAGGTCTGATCTGCAACTACAGGAAATGTTTGGTTGAGGTTATTGCTGCCAAAGGAGGGTCAACCAGTTATTAAGTCCAAAGGTTCACATACTTTTTCCTCCCTGCACTGTGAATGTTTACATGTTATGTGCAATTAAACCATGGCAACATCTAATGTTTGTGTAGTATTATGTTCAGCAGACTGTGTTCTTCTATTGTTGTGACTTAGATGACGTTCAGAGCACATTTTATGCCCAATTTATGCAAAACTCCACGTAATCCCAAGGGGTTCACATACTTTTTCTTGCAACTATAGGTGTGGTCTTCCAATAGCTCCCAACATGTTTCAGGACTGAGTTTCTTCTTCAGGGAACAGATGGGTTCACCTAAAGAAGGAACTCAGTTCTGAAACATGTTGGGAGTTATTGGAAGACTACACCGCTACTAACCAAGATGTATTAATCTTGGAAATCTTTATCGGTGTATTTGTATTCCATAAGGGAATATGTTCAATGTCCAGTCTTTTGTACTGTATGTTTAACTCCAGTTGAACCACTGAAAGATTTTATAGGCCCTCGAGCCAAATTTTTATTAATGAATGTGTTAACGAATAAAGATTGACATTTGGTCTTTTAGAGATTTTTCCAATTTTGTTTCTGCCTTTAAAATCCAAAGGGGATTTGCACTTACCTTTCATGTCCTATATTTGCATTCTGGGGATGTTGGCAGTTATCACTTGTTGTGAATCACTAGGCTCATACTTTTCTATCAATATTGTGACATAATACTACCAGAATCAATGGTCGCATTTCACCAGAAACATAGATTTCATCCTAGCAAATTGGCACCACATTAAAGGAAGAGAAGAAAGGGAGAGCCATATTGTGGGCCCCTCTTTATCTCTGTCATTAGATCAGACCTAAACTAGAGCATATGCTATCTAAGTACACATTTGGAATTCATGATTTTTACGACTTATATGACTTTCAAATTTTATATGCACGCTTATCTATAGTTTAACTGATGCATTCTATATAAGCATTTCTGACACATATTACAATTGAGGAAGTGGCTTGGATAAGCTTCAGAAACATCCTCAGCAGTAGAGAATACGTCCAGTTAACTATGGATAACTACAACTAGCTGTTGGTTATTTGAAGTGCATTGATTTCAGACAGTCTATACACTATGAGAAAAGAACTTTAAGGCCTCGTGCACACTGAAGTTTGAAAAAGCTCAGTACAGCGTTGTTTTTTTAAACTGATCTAAAATGTAGCCCATTGTTTATAATGTGCCTGTTCACACAAGCATGTAAACAAACCCTACATATTCTTGAGTAAGAAAAAAAAAAAGAAAAGAATGTGCGTTCCTGGTCAGTAATTAGCACCGGTACGCACATATGAGCATAAATATTAATGGATTTTGCCTAGGAATATATTGTACGTGCGAATGCGAATAAGGGAAAAACAAATGCCTGAAATGCTGATGCTGAAACATGAGTATTGTGTGCAAGAGGCCAAAAGCAACATTACTTTGTAATACAATAAATACCTGCACCCTGATCCCTGATTACCTTAGTGCTTTTATATCATGAGTTATAGCTCAACATCAGGCAAAACATTTTTCTCATTTTTTTTTAATTTTGAGTTCCCAAATATGAGATATACTGTAGCAATGCTGGTGAAAAACTGGTCAGGCTCCCATTGGTTTCCCTTGATTACCATCCTTGTGCAGGACTTATCATGGCTGTTGCTTCAGTACATTGTATCTTGCTTCAGTATACTGTATGCCAAGTATATGTCATCACTGCTTAATATCAGCACGTGCCCAGAACTACAGATGGTGGTGCTTGTTTAGATACTCATAACTTCAGAACATTATCCATTGGAATTAATATGGGCACAAGTATACATCTGTTACATTCCAACCATTTAGATTGATTACCTGCAAGCACACAGTTACTATTTTACAGTTACACCATAGCATGTGGTTATGTTCTTTGAAAAGCTATCCTACAGTTACACCATAGGATGCGCACATGTTTTCATGCTTTTTGCAAAGCTGTGCTGAACTGTTTGCTTGACGAACTGGTCATATATCTCTCTATATGTTTTGCATTATGGGAGGATTACTTGTAAGACATCCAGCAGTGGTGTGACTGCCATATTCCAAGCTGGTATTACTATATTCAACTTTGGCCATGTCTTCAAGGCATTTATACTACCAGTGTCATACACATAGGACTATTACTAGGTAGACACCCCTTAAGGATGTGACTGCTATACACTGTTGTAATTTCTGCCTCAGTATTTGAAAGACTGGCCATATTTGGATCTGTACATACCATCCACTGGAAGTATGTATGGCATGATGCATCACTGTGTCCATGAACTCTGCAATGGGGAAGAAATATATGGCTTGCAGCCATTCCTCAGATTGTTTCTCTTGCTGGTTTATGTTTGTGATTTACATTTTTCTCGCTTACTGCTTTGTATAGATGACTATTGCATTTAACTGGAGGATCCTGGACCACTTTTAGAAGAGTATTGGCATTACTCCTTGTGCATTTCAACATGCATTATAGCCAGGGGCGGACTGACAACTCATGGTGCCCCTGGGCAATAGGGGATCATGGGGCCCCTGTGTCATTGCCCACACCCAACAAAGCCTATGAAAAAGTCAATTAAAAAAGGTACCAGGGGCATCTCATGGGGCCCCCCTACTGACCCAGGCCCTTGGGCAGTGCCCGAGTGCTCGAATGGTCAGTCTGTCGCTGGTTATAGCCCAACTTCAGTCAAAATTAGTTTTTTAACTTTGGATCTAGTTGGCAAGGGCTAGAAATTCTGTCTGGTTTCTACTGCTCAGTACAAAGAGGGTCTCAAGCATACTTTCAAGCTAGCAATGGGGACCCCCCCTCAACTTATCAGCTTCAATCGGCAAAATAAAAACAAGGGTTTTAGTTGCATTCAATTGCAAATACATGTGGAAGCCATACTGCCACCAAAGGCAACTTTGATAATAAGGTTCCTAAAGCATAAGTTCAACTTTGGGAACATTACATGTTCCATCCATTTTTAGGGTGGAATATGTAACATGTTCCCACTTCTGCAGCCTCTCGCTTTACCCCCCTCATTGTGACAGCAAGCTGGAGATCTTCTCCCTGCACACGCTATCACAATTTGAAAAAATTGTGGCTGCATGGGGCTCTGCCTACATGGCTGCAGCATTTATTCACAGAGGTCTGTGAATAAATGAACTACAAGTGCCAACAGCCTTTGCGTCTGACAGCTTGTAGTTCTCAATAAAATACCAGGGTCCCAGTGAGCTCTCTAGGTAGTTCATCAAGTCTTCCTATCATTGTGTAACTGCCTGCCCGTACAAGGTATGAGCAGACAGATGCACTGACAGTCTGTAGAACAGTCTGCAGGAACCCTGCATTGTACCCGCAATCAGCAGATGCTATGCTTTTCAGGTTCCTACAAAACGTTTTTTTTTTTACGTGCAATTATTATTTTTTTACAAAGGTGAACTTTCCCAACTATGGGGCATTGATAGCAATGTACAGAGAGCAGTCTCACTTGTAGGCAACCCTTTCTCCTTAAAGATACAGTAACACAGCAGAAGCTCAGACATCGTCTTTCAACTGAAGCACCAGATCCAGGGCTCAAGCCACTAACATTACCTTTAGGATGGCTCCATTTGCATGCCCTCAGAAAGGACAGCATAAGCTGTTTAGATACCTGATGGTGATCAACAGCCTTTTTTTAAATATACAGCTGAGGTTTGTAGCTGTAAATGTCCAGTAAAAAAAGGAGCTGGTGGAAGAAAATATTTTACTAATGGTTGCTTTGAAGAAATTCTTGAATTTAATTTGTAAGCTTCATGCTAGAGTATACAGCTCATCCAAAATTGAATTATGAATAAGCGTAAATTGTTTTGCTCATTTTCCATCTCCAGTAACCCACATACTGCAGTTCAGGCACTTTAATCAACAATCACGCCAAAGCTGTCAGCATGCTGTAGAGTTTGGCATTTGCTGGGCTGTGAAAAGATTCTAGGTCAGAGTTTGATATTTGATGACATCAGCAGCAGTATGTATTTCATATAACAAAGAACAAAATAGGATCTTTGTATAAGTGTACATACCGTTTCTCTAGATGAAGTTCCAGTCTGGTTTGAACAGTTTGAACTGTCAGAAATCCAATTCCGTCTTGCCATTTCTTCCCATTCAGCTTGCATCTTATCCCAAAATTCAGTGTCTGACTAGGAAAGATATAATTAAGTCTTTAGCTTATCTTACTACAAATGTATGAATATTTTTATTTAGTTATGCTCTGTCTCCTTGGTATGCATTGCTTTAGGGACTTGCAAGAATACAACAAAGCATTCTGTATGATATAAAGAAAATGAAATGCAAGTGCATCATTAGTGCTGTTAGTAATTATGTTAGTTTCCCTCTTCAAACTAGGGAGTTCCGGTTCACATGTGGCCGTGCAATGGGTGGTCCTTGCTTGCTGTGTGTATGTAACTGTAAGCCCACTGAGTTCTTAGGCTATTTTGGCAGTGTGGGGGAGGTCTCACACCCTGTACATGGGGTACCTTTTCAAGCATGCACTCATAAATGCCCTGGGATGAGGCGGAGGTCATGTTCAAGTGAAATCAACCTTATGGCGGCCCCCGACTTAGAGATGAGCTGTGCACTGTGTGTAGTGATTAACCTTACAGAGTCTCTCTGTGAAATACTGCATCCCCTGACACTACACACCTCACTGTAACTGTTGCATTTAGGAGGAACACCACTGGGCCTATGCCCACTCCACCTGACTGGTGTACCTCTGCCACCTCACTCCCAGTGACAGAATGGGGTCCTGTTGTGCACCTAGTGTGGACCATATATGTGCACACTTCTCCTTCTCTCCTGTACCAGGCAGTGAGGCTGAGGGTCTCCATAACGTGAGTTGTTCCCAGTTGCTATGGGAAACCAACCACTGGAGATGGAGGCAGAACACCAACACCCTCGCTACTGGAGGACACCACTCACCTGACCCAGGTGTGACAAACGCGGCGTCAGACCCTTGACCTTCTCACCAAACTTGTGAACGAAGGACCAGCCAATCTAAAACCGCGATGTCACGTGCAGAACAATGCTATGCCCAGCTGCGCAACAATTTTCCAGCTAATTGGACCGCAATCTATGTACCGGCAGCCTGGAAGCGATTGTTACTGGGTCAGGTTAATTACGCAATTAACTCTTTACACTGACACCACCTCTTTTTTGTACAGAGAAAGAGGAACCTCGGTGATATCAGCTATAACACTATAATGGTTGAGATAATCATCTGTATAACACTGCCACCGCAGACCGTTTATACAGATGGTTAAACAAACAGTAGCGCTCTTTTTAGAGGCAGGAATTCGTAAATTGCAATGAAGAGCTATAGAAACAGTTCAACACTTTCAGAAGGAAAGATTTATTACTAAAGGTCAAAAGGGTCCAATAAAAATATTTACAGAAAAAAGATGTAACCAATATATATATATAAAAATACAGAGAACAACAGCACAGCAAGAGATAACAGAAAGGAGGTTAAAGTACTTGCCAATCAACCTTGGGTTTGCAGATCAAGTTTCAGAGCGAAAGGGTATGGGTCTCCCAGGTTGGTTCTGATGGTAAAAGGGAGAATTCTTCAACTAAACTCTCTTAGGCCTGACAACCCATTTTGTAGTTCCCCAGTAGGGGGTGTCTCTGAAGTCAAGGACCAATACCCCATTTAGGGAGGGAAGGTCTGGGCGTAGGCCTAAACTAGAGCCAAAATCTCTTATAGTTCATATTTTGGCTCATAACTTTCCCTATGCACAAGTGACATTCCACCCGTGGGTAGGTTATTATGCAAACACATCTGAGGAATGATTAGATATGAAATTATACACTGAATGTTTCCAGAGATCTACTTTTCTGCTTTCCTATGTATTCCAGCCAAGGAGAGTGACCTATCAAACTGTTTGTGTCCTCGTGGTCCATCTGAAGATATGCCTGGTTTTTATGCAAGTCTCTCATATTCCAAGATATGAGACATAGGGGAAAAATGGATTTTAAAAGTGTTATCTGGTTCATGCTTCTCTGGAATGTCTTTGAACTCCTGGGAAGGCTTGCGTTATCTCTTACAATGTGCTAGATTGCACAGCTCTCTTAGACAACCAGGCACTTCAGGGCTCCCTGCTGTGTCCTGGCCTGTGACACTTTTTAACACACAGGCCATATGTCAATGTGTATGAACAGAGAGGAAGGGGGAGAATGAGGGGGAAATATGTTTGGCAGGATGGCTGACCCTTTGCCAAGATGGAGGTTGAAGCCAAAATGGTTGAACCGCATCCATCTCTGGGTGCACGACTGCCACACCAGGTACCATGCTTCATGACAGGCAGCTATTTGATTAAACAAGTTCTTTGGTTAAACATAACAACTACTCTATTCCTTCACTCCAATACTTTGTTAATCTCTTGTGGCTGACTTGCTTCACACCCCATATGTGCTTTAACTCACCCGAGTTAGTTTAGCTGCCATGTAACTGTCATGCACTCCTTTAGTAACTTCAGACCAGGCTTAGAAAAAGTTTAAGAACTTTATTGAAAGTTCAATAGCCAAACATAATAAAGTGCAACACAGTTCTAAACTGAACCGGAACTAGCTGTTCTGATTTGTGGTTGCCCATGCATACCTCAAATGGTGATTGTCCAATACTGGTGTAAATCCATACTTGGCAGTTTCTCCAAAATGGTTGGCATCTTTTAGAGGACTGCAGGGCCCAGCAGCCACCCTCCGGAAAGAGATGTCATGACATCACTGACACTGATCGAATCCCAAAAACAAACTGAAATGGAGACCGCCATACTCGGCCTTACAACCTTATATTAGCAGCACAGGGTGGGTAGGCTGCGTCCCAAAAGCCCAGGAAAAAGGACAGAACAATATAACCCCATCCCCTGGCTTGGGTCAGCCACTGCTCACTAATTAAAGTAGGCAACCTGCCTATGCACATACATAATTAATACTATTCTACTATTAACAAATTAAGGGCTTGAGCCTGTAAAAAAATGTACCTAGCACCTACCTGCTGTTGATGTTCTTATGAACAGTATATGCAACATTTCACTGATACACATAGGCCATATAAAGGCAAAAAATGGCATTTAAGAAATTTATCCTCCCCTATTTTCTCAATATTAAGGCTCTTTGATTCAGGTACTCTACTGGCTGGTACCACTTACTCTTTGTGAAGACCATGCCACCAGAGGGGGCCTGAGGCAGAAAAAAATTCTACTGTTTATGGTAAGCATACCTATCATTGCCATATATTCTCCATTGTGTTTATATGAACTACATGAGCTGCTTATGCTTGTATTCATGGCTAGACTGCAAAAAAAAAAAAAAATGGAATAAATAAGAAAAAAAATAGCTCAGATGTAATAGCTCCTTTGGAAATCACCAAAGCTTCTGGACTGCCAGCCCATGGCTGATAATCTGGAAGCTATACACACTAAGGAATTGGATGCCATTTCAAAGAGTTTATTTGTTTCACACTTTTGAATTACAAAATCTTTAATCTACAGCGAGCAGATGCAAAATGTACAGAAACTTTACAGAGTACAGAAACCCCATATAGTAATTAATGCATTTCCTTGTAAGAGTTGTAAATCAATAGCAGTGTAATCCTACTTTATGTGCAAGCTGCAGTTTCAAGTTGCTGTGTGCAGATTCCTAATTAGAGGGAAGCAGGTGCATATCATAATTCCTTCCTATTCTGTGTCTAAGAAAGGGCACACTGGTGTCTAAAATGTTTACATATTTAATCAAGTGTAAAATAGTATGAAATAACCAAGGCTTGATGATTTCCCATTGTGAATTCCAACACTGTAAGGAAAAATAAAATCAATTCTTTACAAATATGATAAATTGTAATCTTTTCTTAGAAGCAAAGGAATGACATGTGGCACTGAGCCAAGCTATCAAATCCATAATACAACAAAATATCTATCAGCTAGCAGCATACTTCACATTATATGTCATCTGATGCCAGTAGGGGATGTGAGGAAATTCAATATACAGATAACTGTGGAAAATCAGTAAACTCCAGTACTATCACCTTTTATTATAGCCTTACATCAGTGAAGTAATCCAAAGTACTTATATTCTATTAAAACATTTTTACAAGGAATGTATAGTATTTTGTATATATTTTCCCCATCTTAATTATACCAGGATAAAAAAATTATTTTGTTTAATTTTTACTCCACTAGATATGAATTACTGTATATAAGTATTTTATATTTCCAGCCAGTAGGTTTAACTGATTGTTCTTAGCTGATATGTAGAACAATTCTGTTCATAGTTATCAACATATTGCCCAAGATCAAACTGAAACACAACTGAAACATTCAGAATACCCCTATACCCCATCTGTTTTGTTCAGCTGAGGCTATATGGAGTTTCAAATACAGAAAGAGAATTTCCGAGAGGGAACTTGAAAGTAAACAGCTACTACTGTGCTCTCCCTTATTCCAAGGCTGTGTGAAAATTGTGCTAAATACATCATACTAAACATGTATTTACAATAAATAAATAGAATATACCCCAAATGATCTAATACATGCTTTCCCTGCATTACATATCTTTTTTCTTATGTGTTAATTTTACAGTGATAATGTCTTGTTCAGTTATTGTAAATAGATGTGCGTATATGTCTGAATTATAATCTAAAATAAAGGTTTATGCAGACTAGGCATGTGACTTAAATTTGAGTTGAGGTAGAGTTTGACCCCCAACTTTGCTTGTCCACTGTTAAGGGAAATAGTGAACTACTGAGTTTGGTCACCTTCGTACCCAAACCAATTACCATAATGCATTTCATAAACTGAACTGGGGTCATGTGGCAGAGTATGGCCAATAATGGGTGTTTCTAAATATGCCAATCCCATCCCTATAAAAGAAAGCTCTCCCATCATCTGTTTGTCATTGTATGTTGGAATTGGATCAGATAGGGACAGCTGATAGTCGTATACATTTCAGGTACAGATAGTTACTGCTGTACAGTGTTAGATACAAAGCTATACAGTGATATAAATGTTGCTGTGTTGTGCTACTTTACAGTGACCTGCAGTGGCTACAAAGAGTGGAGAATACCATCTGTATTTACTGTGATGTATAGTGTCCATTACTTGCAGTGGGTTACCTATTATTGCATACCACCCATTGTATTTTCCC